TGATGATGATGATGATGATGATACATAGCATAGTAGTAAAAAGGTCTGACAATAATAAGAGGGCCGCAACAATATCAATTTTCAAAAATTCAGAGACCCAGGGCGCTCTCTCAGTTTGAACAGTTTGAACACAAATCCTTGTGTCAAACAAATTGGAAACCAAAAGCTGATTCCTTTACTCACTTCCTATAGCCGAAATACACGATCAGTTTTCCTCCTGTTCAACCTCTTTCTAGTTGTCGACAGCTAGACAGTGATTTTCATTAGCCTTGGAGCCAACAAAAGGCATGATGATGGGGCAAATTGAACAAATTTCTATTAAGTCTGTCAGTTGGATTATCAAAAAAGAATGGACACATATTTTGTTAATAAACCAAAAAATTACAAGAATAACGCGTCCATGTTTGGCTTGCAACTTCACTTCTAATTAAGAACTGTACCAAGACGTGAATGCGTTATTACAAATCACTAATATCTGTAATGTTTTGATTATGTGAATAAAGGAAAATACGTGTCCCTATTTTTTTAATAATCTACCTGATAGACAAAGAATAGAAAGTGCCATCACCCTATTGTCTAATAAGAAAATTAAATCCTTCAAAGCCAAATGCTTTGAAGGTTGGCAGAGTGAGGATGACTCGAGCAGTTCATAACTGTGCGTTGGGATTTTACTACTTCTTAACATCAGGTGCGGCAGAATTGCTTTTCTACCTAATTATATAAAAAAAATGCTCAACATTTTATTTATTTATTTATATAATCTAATTACTAAGGCAAAATACCATTTACAGCAATTAGTATAAAAAAAGAAAACAAAGAATTACAAACATGAGGATTCACACTCATTTTTCTCGCAAAACATTACCATCACCACAATTTAAATAGTCAATGTTTTTGATCATTGGCATCCAACATTTGTCTGCTAGCTTTAGGGTGAGGCCAAACGAGCGTAATTTTGTGAGTGGTGAGTCGCAGAATTTCGGTCGCAGAAATTCTGCTGCATTCGGTTTCATACAAAAAGGCAGTTGGTGCCACACGACAACGCAAAATGAGTTGTTCAATTCAGTTGAACGTAAAATAAGTGACCGAAAATAGGCGACTCACAACTCACAAAATTACGCTCGTTTGGCTTCACCCTTATCATTTAAGTAGTTGCACTAAAAGAGCTTTTATTTGCCAAATTATTCAATCAGTTCTCACTTGTTATTTCAATCAGTTTTCTTTCGAAATGGTTTCAATTTGGTTAAGATCTGATAAGCAATTTTGGTGATCAGCAAGGGAACATGCCTGTATAGTATATTTCGTGATCTTCGTATTGTGATATCAACCTCCAGCGGTTGATATTATATTTGAGTATATATTTATGAAAATATCTTGTATAATCTTTCAAAATTCATGACTTTGAAAGTTTGTATAAACGTTACTTAATCACTTGAAAATGGTTCATCGGATTCGGATAAATTTAGGCATACAGATACAATATTGCTGTGATTAATACAAGGGATACTTTTATCCCAGCGAACCTCGCCCCCCACAAGGATATAAGGTTTTAAATAATAATCTGGTTATTTTTTAAAAACTGGATGATTTATTTTTACCAATGCGTTATAATATATATTCATTATATCGAACAAATTACGTTACAAAATGTACACGTTTTCCTTAACTCCATAGCTACAATATTATTATTATTTTCATACTTAACAATTTAAGAGTCTACATATATCATATGCAATTTAGAGTAGGTATCTTAAAAAATACATAATATCAATAATTTATACAACGAACTTATCTCATCTGCGAAACACTTTCCTTCAATGACGGGAAGTTTGATGTGTTTGTCAAAACATGAAAATAAAAATTTCCATTCCCATTTTCATTAAAAAGACACACCCATACACGGGCGCAACTGTTTTGTCACATTCGGGTAGGACAACGCCTAAGGTTTCTTATAAACAAACGCATTCTATATGTACAGCCCTTTTGAACCAATCATAACGTGAAAAACGAAAATTTTCCTTATTTGGTTAGCCGAATTCTCGATTAACTGTATAGTGCTACAAATAAGAGATCCATCGGTAACGGTGTCTAAAAGCTTCGTTCATTTTTTTGGTATAAATTGAATAAAAAAACTAATAAGTTTCAGCTATCGATGTGAAGGCCACTAGAATCATCGAACAAGCTGATGCTACGATAGTCAAAGACGACACTACGGCGAAGGGTTAATTACACAAGCGAAGGTGAAATAAAAATTATAAAAAAAAAACATTACAATATATATGTTTAATAGACTTGCATAGACTAGAATTGTTCGGAACGCATGACGGTTGAATTGAATTCCGAATATCCCAAAAAAAATTGTGGCCTTAATATAACCTAGATATTTACAATGTCCAATGGCGCAGTTTCTGTGCTGGCCGCGAGTTGTGAATACAGTTTCAGTCGAATTGTTTGCTTAAAAGCCATGCTTTAGTATCATAACAACATTTTGGCGATACCTACACTTGTAGTTACAATTCGCATTTCATCATTCGAGGACAAGTGCACGTTTCAATAATACAATTTTAAGGTATACAATATGCTGCACTACTAATTAATACTCTATGTTTATTACAATCTATAAATGGACCATTCTTATATTTTCTTTTGTTCCTAAAGAAATTGATCAAAGTATTATTTACATTACAATAAAAAACAAAAGAAACTCGGAATAGATTTCTAAATTTAAAACTTTAACAACACGCATTCGAAAGTTTTGTTAAAAAATGTTTTGTAGCTTGAAGCAAAACTTACGTTGTCTGATTTAGGGCTATTGTTTTAGAGAGGGGGAAAAAAACTTTTAAAAATTCACGAATGCCGGGTAAAAATGTGTTAGTTACCACGTTAAACTATAAAACAAATGGTTAGGTGAACGTAAGTTAAAATTTAACACTTATTATTCTTATCTATAGTCGCGTTTCTTAATTACAAAATTTTAAAAACTATTATTGTTATCTCTACATATTAGTTCCTTGAATCAGATTGTGCGAATTTTTTGTTTCGGTATTTTTTTTTAATTATTAATCATTACACCTTTAACATTACCAATTAGGTATATCATTAAATGACAGCTACGTCAACAACGAAACGGATAAATTACTTTAATATAATGCCATCTACTACAGTTTTGTTGACATACAAGTTAATCGAATATGGATTATTCATACTGTTTAGTTCTCCTTATAATCTTATAGACACCAATTAAATACCATTAAAGATACATGATACATGGCTAGTGTTGGGAGTGATAGAAAGAAATGCTTCGTTGTGTCTCAAAATACGTGTGAGTTTAAATTAAATCTTAAGAAGAAGACGCTTACCAATTAAATCAACAATAGAGATAGATACTATAATACATACAGACAATATGTTCAATTTATCTCAAACAACATAACGAGAATATTCAACTTTTCAGTTCTGTGAATCGTTCACTAACATATTAAATCGCATCGTATATATATTTATATTAATAATAATGTTTATACATGACACACAGTGTAATCCTACTACCAGACGCGAGAGATAATTATTTAAATCTACTCGGACTTCAAGCGACTTTCAAAGCTTTCAATGCGATTACAATCATTATTAGAATGAAGACAACAAGTTTATCATTATAATAATTATAATAAGTATTCAATATCATAACTTACAACAGCTAACTACGTCGTCTATGATATTAGTTCCTTTGAGACGCCCGTTATTATAATAACTTCTAATTTTTTCTCACAGTATCGCTTTATTTTGACTTCATTATTATAAACAGTATTTTTTTTTATAATACTTACATACATACGAATATATTTTAACTTACATCCATGTAGTTTGTGAATGGAAATTTTGAAAGCTTGTGAATCAGCAAAATATTATAATATGCTTCAGAGGAATAGAATATTGGAGACAAAAGAATATTTTTGAAACGTTGTTTTTCTAACTTGAAATTCTCTTTACAATCCTAAATCTTTAAACGAAATATTTATAACCCTGATGATTCCAAATATTGAAACATTGCAACAAGAAGCGCTACATTACAACATTATAAATTCGATGTTGCTTCAATATACCATAATAATTACTTTTGGGGTTACGTGATTCTTTTCTAATAAAAATATGTGTTTAAATTTAGCAAATTTTGGGAAAGACCCAAACAAAACATGGCCGTCACAATTTTTATTAGTAAAGAACGAAAAGATTTTAACACTAATTTGAGCTTCGCTGTCATTATCAATATTGCTTTTTGATCGTTGATCGAAGTTTTAAAGATAAGAATTTGCAACAACAGAGAGAATGAATGCTATTTCAAATACATAATTTAAGCGTATACAAAAGTTTCAGAAGAGCATTTTAGAACATAGAGAAGCGAAGAAATGAAATGACGTTTTATTGTCGTAGTTTGAAAGTATGTAGGCATATATTACGCATACAAAACACACAAGCGGTCCGAAGGTAACTTTGTAAGTTCACAAAAAGATATTATAAGTTTTGTAAGGAGCATATCGTTCAATAATCTGTTACAGAATGTACGATCGGACCATTCGAAAGCTTGTGATGCTGAGTCATAACGAAATGCATGTCTGGCAATGAAAGAAGAAAAAAAACTAAAGTATTGTGAAGTCAAACAAATTTTCGAAGCAACAGTATCTATGAGCGACTACATGCTTAAAAGTACCTTGAGCATTACTAAAATATAAGTATCATGAAGGATTCCAAGTAATTTATTAGGCACAAATTTATTTCTTTCTCCCCGAAAATACATCAATACCAATATACATAATATTATTATATCGTCTACAAAACACAAGATAGTATATACCTTACAGATTTCCGCAATAATAATATAGATTTTAACATGTAATTTTTTTGCATTTCTATCAATAATTGGGTTTTCGTAGACACTTACTAAGTAATACATGAACTGTTTTTTACATATATATTTATAAGAATATAATAATGTAAGTAAAGCATTTTCTTTCTTATCAACTATAGCACAACGGATCCCTATGTTAAATTTTAATATTAAGGGACACAAGATATCCTACAAATATTGAACTCACAATCTGAAACAGTATAATTTAGTAGAGGGTTTTATTTATCTTATAAAATGAGTGAAGTAACGTTCAATGCTAAAGTTACTCCTTAACTGACACGATTTTCACTGAATTGACAGGATTTAGCATTTTTTTTAATACACTTAGCTTGTGCGTTACTGTGGAGAGCAAACATTCGATAGCTAAAGTATTTGGAATCAAATATCGGCATTAGAACGTTTAAAAGAGAAGCTACGGCGCATATAAAATCCAAAACAACTGAAAAAACTGATTTAACAGGAATCGCTTTCCACAGCAACACAAAGTATCAAAAATAGGTACATATTGTTCTCCCACAAGGTATTAAACATTATGCTCATGATTTTGTTAAAAATTAAAAAAAGTTACAGAAGCTAGCGCTGCTAAAACTAATCTATGCGATATATCAGTCTCCACTAGATTCTTATAATTTAGAAAATCCATAAAGTAAATCACAGAGTTTGAATTAGCAAAAAACACTTTTTTCCCCTTTTTATTGAAACCGAACAACTGTATTCTGTTCCTTATAAGGAATATTTTAACAAAACGTTGTAACATTTTGTTGCCACCGTCCCGCGAATAACACATTCCCAATATTGATATGTATCTTTCTATAGAATTTGTATTGTAAATCGTTAGCGTGAAGATAACAAAGAAAACTAAGTTGAAGTGTCCCTTCGCATCGATCCACCCGTGCCATCTTATTATACAGTTACAAGTTCGTACCTAACCAATGACAAAGACTATCCTTACCTTACTCTAACATACATTACATAAACGATCAACGCGACACATCAAAACTAACTCCTACCATGACACAAATTTTACCCTAAAACTGGAACGAGACACGCATAAAACGGGAGCGCAGATAGATCAAGTTTATGCGATACGAGTATGCGTAACCAGTTCCAATTCCGACATCAAACATGGTAGAAGTTAATTAGAACCCATCGAGAATAGCCAACTTATATCGCACTCCGAAATACCTCCAATGGCATACTGATCAGCTTCCGAGTAAACTTAAATCGTCATACTACCTATGTGTGCATCAAAGTATAAAGTGAACTTACGTACAGTAACAAGAACGCAAGACAAACTTGACTACAACCTAGTCTTATTTTTCTATTACGATTTGTTATAATATTTCATCTAAAGAGTCTGAAAGTAAACGCAACCAAACATTACGCTTAAATACACGTGTTAATAAAATTAAATGTGTTGAAGTTGCAAACTTATTATTTTTTAAGAAAGTACTAGAAGCCAAGTCGTATAATGTACATATACAGTTTACGGACGCGACGCGGTGCAGCGAGCTATGGGAGTGAGCGGCGACGCAGCCGGTCCTCGAGCCGACCTCCTCATCGGGCTATATTATTTACAAGTCTGGTCAAGCCGAGTCGGGATCCAGCTGCGCCACCGCCAATCCCTAACTGACCCGATGCTTACTAAACAGGCGACGGAGTGTAGACGGATTTATTTACTGGGATGCGTCTGAGACGTGCCGTTTGAAAATCATCCACAACATTCGAAAGTAAATTTTCCATGTATAATAAAAAAAGTACCGACTCACAGCCTTACTATATAGACCTGATGCACTTCCGATCGTTTGAAGCGTCGCCTATTAACGAAACTAAAATTAACGAAAAGTAAACACCTGAACTGAAGGAGAATGCGACCGTGCGTGCGGCCGGTTGACAATACAACATAATCATCTCCCTCGACCCTTATTAAATAACTTTGTACATTAAATCCAAATGTCGACACGTCATTTTGGATGTAGGCACTCTCTAGGCGGGGCGGCGAGCGGGCGCCGCGTCATCGGCCTCCGTTGGCGGCTCTGAGCCGACCGCATGAGATCAGTGGAACCGACCCGAGCACCGCTCTAAGACGACATGAGGTACGAGAAAGAGGTGTTGTCTACCCAGTCGCCCGCCACGCCGATCTCGCTCAGCATGTCGGATACGTCCGGCGTGCAGGAGAATTCTAAATGTGAGCCTGATGAGGATGACGCCGTCTCGAACGATTCCATGTCCGTCGTCAATGCGTCTAGGTCGACCTCGCAGTCCGCCGGCAAGGGCAAGAGATCCGTGATCGAGTAGAGGTCGGAAAGGTCGGCTTGATCGCGCCGTGAGCTGTCTTCGTATAGGCAGGCGGACTCTGGGGAATCTGGAGAGCCAGCCGGCGACGCGGGCAGCGGTGGAGGTGCTGATGATTCTACCGGCACGCTTGGAACACTTAAAGGTGGTGGTCGCGTTCGTCGTCTCGACATGCCTCTGTTGTTGTTTGAGTCTGCCTTTTGCTTTCGCTTTTGCTTCGTAACGGCACCGGCACGCTGCGCTGGCTTGGCCGTCTTCTTGCGAGGCCTGTATTTGTAATCAGGATACTCGCGCATATGCAGCTGTCTAAGTCTCTCCGCCTCATCGATGAAGGGCTGGCGCTCTTCGTCGTTTAGCGTCTTCCAAACGCGACCCAAATTCTTCGAGATCTCCGCGTTGTGCATGTCAGGCGTTTGCTCACATATTTTCCTGCGCTCGATCTGTGACCAGACCATGAACGCGTTCATTGGCCTCTTGATGTGGTTTGGATTATTCTTCTTCGTCTGTGGACAATAGAAAACCAACGTGTTAGAAATGGTATTGTGAATAAATTAATAACCGATAAAGAACAATCGAGTGGGCACATAAAACAGATTTATGTTCGAAACAGAAAATCAGTGTTATCTGTTTAATTGTGGAGAACTCAATTATTATTTCAGGCATGTCCGATTTACCGCGGGCCCTGGCAAAGAGCTGGCTATACTAAATTAGTATGCATGACATTACACCATTAAGTCTGTGGCCTTACTATTAATGATATTGTTATCATAGGAATTATTATTACTAACAAGTAAAATTAATTTATAACAGTTTGATAGCGGAAAATTTTATGATTAGTCGTAAGTTAGAATAGTAATGCAACTATTGATAATTTGATTCATAACCCTTTCGTTAGTGTAAGGCGTGACCCAATTTCGTGTCTATTTTAATCCGTGCCCGTTTGGGCGACCATAAACTCGTGATCGGAGTGTTCTTTTGAAGTGTGTAGTACACACTTCCGTATCTCGACCAAATGTTGTAAAACATTGACTAATGAGGATGTTAAAGGACAGAGGAAGTCGTTATCAAATCATGCAGGAAGCGTTCGGGTGAGGACAATAATGCCTCCGTTCTAGGAAATGTGTTGCCTTAGTTTCCCTTTCGAGTCAAATCGCACGCAAGCGTTAGATAAGAGGTCCGTATCCGTCGAAATGGAAAGCATATTTTCGTGGTTTAGCCACGGGGAAAGTTTACGGCCCCACTATCTCTGGAGCCGCTTTATGAAGAAACATAAAAACAACACCGCACTAGTAAGAACATAGGCGAATATTGTCCTTTATTATTCAAATCTTACTTTCGCTAAACTCTACTCGGGCGGTCCCTGTGGAAACTGGCAGGGAAAAAATCCTCAGTCGACTTTATATTTTTTGCTCGTCTTATTTATATTCAGGACAAAAAAAGGGTTTGTCAAATGGCGAACTAAATCAAGTTCGGTACGCCCACTCCGAGTCTCAAGGTGATCGGTGTAAAGGTAGGCAGTTTTTTGTAAAGCCACGAACGTATCCAGGTTACTTAAGTTATTATTATTAACCTTTTTTTGTTGAAGCAATTTGTTTTGGACTTCAATCTAGACTGCAACGGTTCCAACTCGATTAATCACCTAGTCAGTGCAGTTTTTTTTATACGTGACTAACAACTGTTGCTAAGCGCCTACGATACATAATGACAGCAGAGTCACCTTCCAAAACGGTCTGGTTGTTACAATGATGTTAAATAAATTGACTTCAACATGGCAAGAACTCATCCAGTAACATGAAAAACTCAAATCTTAAAAAAGTACTGCAATATGTTATACTCAAAACTTACAAGAGTTTTAGGATCTAGACAGTGTAAACAATAACTTTGAACGTAACAGTCAAAAAGCATTGAAATATAAATTGGATTTTAAAATTAAATATAGCAACCTAAGGATATTCTCCAAGACAGATTTCGTAAAATAGGAATCTAAAGATCTCAGTAAATACGAAACGTATAAAAGGGAAACAAGTCAAGCAAGGTCGTAATAAAACGCAGTTACACGTGAAAAGCACAGGTGTAATATCGAAGAAACTGCTGCTGGAGCGTCACATATTTATTCGCAAATTGATGCTCCAACCTCTTTCGTAGACACTGTTTTAAGTTCAATGGCTCCGATTTATTGTTTGCGTTCTGGTATATTATATGACTGCATTAAACCTTTATTACAGGGTGTGGGAATATGTGCGTGCGATTACTTAGGCACTTTTTTATGTTACTGAGGCGATAAATAATAATAGGCTCAGTTATAAAAGCTTGCTAAATTCGTATGTCAAACATCGGTAAGACTAAATTGTCTGAATTATATTTAGTGTCAACTTAACTTGTATCTGAAGTGAAATTATCCCAAAACCAAGAGAAATTAATAAAGGATAACAATACAAGCTAAAGCTGGATTAAGCCAATAAAAAAACTGTCTAACGTTGTTGCTGTACAGATTGTATAGAACTGTCGAGTATAGGAAATGAAGTGGATGCCCTTGTACCGCCGACTCCGAACAAATGCTGTGACGACGCGCTTGCAATAATAAACTTGGATACGCCATACATGGAAGGTTGGCAAAAACACCATATCCCGTTCACAACACGTAATAAGTACACGTGCAGATATCATAGGTTGCAAGCTCTAGATATCGTCAACATTGATATTAAGCTTTAATTTTGTTTATCAACAAATAATAATTCTGCCAACGAAAACCCGCTTCTTAATTAATAATCGAGGAGCTCGATTGCGCAAGTGGTTAGCGCGTTCGCCGATCGTTGAATTTAAGCAACTTTCGCAGTGGTCGGTCATGGGATGGGTGACCAAAAATTACTATCTCGAGCTTCTCCGTGCTTCGGAAGGCACGTTAAGCCGTTGGTCTCGGCTGCATCTGCAGTCGTTAGCACCCACCAATCTGCACTGGGACCGCGTGGTGGGTCATAGCCCAATCTTTCTATTACATCCATAGGGAAGGCCTGTGTCCCAGCAGTGGGGACATTAATAGGCTGATGATGATGATGATGAATTAATAATATAATTTTGTCGTACATAACCACCTAAGACCTATCACGAGTCTTTAAATGTAGAAAAAATATATACTTCAAGTGAGAACAGTTTATATCGATTCGTACCAAGGTTAGTGTGCACGTTTCCGCATTTTCAAAACTCACTTCGCGTTGCTTCGAATCCGGAATTTTTGCAAGTTAAATAAATTGAGGTCACTAAAGAGATAAGGTTTTTTAAAGATGATTAATAACAACTTCCTACGAGGAAATGGGAGTTTCATAAATAGCCTAATAAAGACTTTGAAAATGTACAATTTTTATAGTTTGACGCCAGCAATGATGTGGTTTATTATGGTTTTACTATTGATTATAGAAAAAAAATACTTCTTTATATTAAAAAGAGACTGTAGGATCATTGTTCTTAGTTCGGAATTACACAAAGATGATCGGACGAGCGTTCATGCATGAAGAGTTCAAAACGTCAAATGTCTTTGACCAGGTGCTAAAGTTTCTACTCATATAGAACGGTATTTAAATTGATAAAAAACTTAGAATATCGAAGTAAATTACTTAATTGTCGCAGTGGCGTGTTTAATTATAGGATAAACGGTGTTTATAACACGTCAGCGTGGGGGTGGCGGGGGAAATATTAATGAAGATGTTGGACAATTCCAAGTCTTTGAAAGACGAACAAAAGATTATATTCGGGGCAGACGATTATGGGCATACTCTTTGTAATAACCACGAGGACTGAAGGCTTTCCAGATGAGTCTTCGTACCTTTTGTGTTTGCAGATAATGAGTCACAATAGTCGAAATGAAACTTTTTTTTTATCAAGACAGACCCTTATTACTGAAGCAATTTGATCGGGGCACGTTTGGAGATAGAGATTGAAATTTTTCGACGACATCTTGCGCTTTATTAAGTTGGTCTCCGGGTCTTTTGTGAGAAATTTTTGTTAATATTAAGTTATCTGGAATTGGGTTCTAAATTGAGTGGTATTTTTTGTCTTTACTTGTTCTCTTTGATATTCGTTCTAATTCTTATTTTTACTAGTAGTAGTTCTTTGTTCTTTATTATTTTGTTGTTGTGTAAACTGTAATTCAATTAAATATAATAGTGATATTGTTCATCTACAATATTACTTCATAAAGAAGACAAAGTGTTGAGTTGAAGGCAAACAAGAAGTGCACTGTAAATATCTCACTTCTTGGACATAAATAATATTAGCATGTGAAATAGTGAAGAAATGCATAAGGATATCGAATCAACCGCAGGACTGTATTAAATTTAAATGTCTCAGCGGAGTGTTGACGTGCTTATATGCTAAGTAGGAAGCCTAGAGAAAAGGCTGTTGTACAGTGGCACGAGGAAATGAATATAAATTGCGTATAAGTCAAGGATGCTAGCTGTAGGGATGGCTACTTCATTTGCTACGCTCGTGGTTGCTATGCATACTATTATTTATTGATAATAGATAAATCATCTGTGTCATCCTCTATTGTCCAATTTTGTAAATATTTTTACCATATTAACTGTTTTCATTTAATAGCGTTGAGATTGAGATAATGCATTCGACTTAAGACCATTGATGATGCTTTATTAAATATATTTTTTGTATGTACGCCGGTATAAAATATGTCGTCTTCTAATTCTAATAAGTCGGTGAGGCAAATGTTTGTATGATGAATACGAACACTCGTACTTAAGTCATGGCAATTAATATTTATTTCTTTAATAATGTACGTACATATATACATACATATGTAAATATATAATCATTATTAAGCATATCTATCCGTTACCCGGGTATCCCATAACACAAGTCTCACAATGCTTACTTTGGGGCTAGGTTAATTGGTGTGAACGCTGGAATAATTTTTTTGGTACGTTTTAAAATTCCATTTGCTACACTACCAAAATTACCAAAATTATATGGTTTAGCAACGAAAAGCTGATATAAATATCGTTAGCAAAATATAAGCAACACTGAGTACCACTGCCGAGTGTACCTAGAACTCGTTCCGTCGCCTTACAGTCACGACTCCACACCACAACCTTTCCATAGATACGCAATTTTGACCCCTTTTCGCTATAATCGCCTATTCATACACGCACACGGCCTGAATTTTAACTATTTCACTATTCATATAATGTACCGTCTACATCAGGATTTCTACCTACTATAATCAATATGCTATCATATTCATAAAACTGAAGGTGAGCACTCAAGTAAATTGTTCGTTGTAAGTTAAATTGATAAACAATGCACATTCAATAACTATTCAATACTTAATTAGTGCATAGTAAAGGAGGTCAAATGTGACAATGAAAAAGCTATTATTATTTTAAACAATAACAATAATTAGTGTCGTTAATTAAAAATTATCATATAAATATAACTTTACTATATCGCACGCAATAACAAACGTGCTGGTATACAAATTTGGGATGACCAAATA